ATAAAATGATGTTTACATCTAAGCTCTTATTAATCGCTTAAGTTTTTTCTAGGAATATTATTATAACAAGGAATAATATTAAAGTATCTACTTTATATTTATTACATAATCTATAATATAATAGTTTGTATTTATCATCATTATTCCAGCGAGAATCTAAAACACTTGAAAAAAAAGTATAGGTTCATTAAATTTTGGCTTTACTTTCTCGAGTAGTGGATGTGAAATTTTCAAATTCAATTTTGCTATTCTATGGCCGCTGGTTTCTCTGTGTCTCTTCGACAGGTAGAATCGGTGAGATCGGGGGATACTTTCCTTCGTGCCAATTCCCTTCCAAATCCAACGCACGATTATGATTAACGGTATTTGTCAAACACTCCTCGATCGCAGCATCCACATTTTCCGCAGTGATGAATGTGATAGATTCTTCCTTAATCTTTTTAACCCATTCGTTAAGCCTCATCTCCTTTATCTCTTGGTTCTGTTCTTTCCTTAAAATATTCTTCAGAGTGGCATTTTTGCGTCTCTCCCTCATCTCCATCAGCTTGATCTCTCGCATCTTTGCTATTTCTGCATTCCATTCATCATTTATGGCATTGCATGCTTTAAAGTCCTCTTCTTCGGTCAGCTTGTTAACTACTGTCTCATTAAATTGCATCTCATTTTCTTTTACAATTTGCCTTATATATGCTCTGTAATACATTAGTTAATTTTTGAAGATAAGAATATACAATAATTCAGTAGCTAGAATATTCTTGTATTAATCATATTTATTTTATTAATCATCATTATCAAAAATCAGATTTATAGAATTGTACATACTTAAATGATGTCATATATGTCCTATAATTATTATATAAACGCTTGAGCTCCACGTAATCTTCCATAGGTATGACAGGTCTTTTTGGTACTCGAAACACTTTAGATTTTGCCGTAGGGAGCCAAATTGGTTTCCTTTTCCAACGTACACACTGTGTGTAGACAGAATTTGGAATAAAAGTCTCACAGAGTCCTGTAGTACCCATTGTTAGTGTATTAACATTTATTATCCTCATGGTCTGCATTGTTTTAGAACTATAAAAAATTTATTGTCATGAAAATTATATTATTATAATAATGTAATATTGATACTTATCACTATAGTGTTATCATATCATTTGTTCATATATTTCAATTAGTCTATTATATATATCCAGGTAACATTATGTCCGAAATATGGATATAAGACACCTTCAAGACATCTTAAGCCTCGTTTTCAAGCTACAAAGAGACAGAGAAAGAGTTTTAAGCTTTGCTTAAAATCCAACGTTGGTGCAAAAGGCCTTATATCTATAATTTGGAGATGATGTCGCTGGATACGTAAAACACACACACAAAACATACACACACATACACATAAAATAAAGAGATTAAGATAAATTCAATAAAGAAAGTAAATTGACATTATATTGCAATAAATATCCTTTAAATAAAGAAATCAAAATTGATGAAGTATATAGAATATACCGAATATTAACAGTCTTCTAAAACCTTAATAATGTAAATATAATATTATAATAATCAAAATAAATATTGGAAACAATTAAATGACAAATACCAAAATACGTTTTCGAAGTAACAACATAAATCTTTCGTCACTTCGTCGCTCCAGTTTTTGGCAGGTTTTGATTATACTCCAATTTTCTCCAATTTCTCAAAAGTGAGGTTATGATATTTCTCTTTTTTTTACCTCCTTCCAGGCACGGTGATTCGCTGCGCTTGCGCATTTGGAATTGCGTTTTTGCATTTAAATACTCAAATGTTCTAATTATCGTAGCTGTAATAACTTTACAAAAAAAGGAATGTAAGTATCTTCTTGAAATTTTATGAACTTTATTGTACAAAATGTATCGTGCAGATATATATCGTGTATAGATAAATAAAAGAAACGTACTTTTTTAAATAAATATTCTTACATACATTAAAAAGATTCAAGAACATTTCTTTTGAGAAAAAAAAATCGATTTGTTTCCCAGCAAACGAGAATGGATTGAAATGAATTGAAATGGATTTAGATTTTTAGAAATATTGATTCACGAATGTTAAAATGAATGCTTTTCAATTCTAAATGCATGTTTATTCATTTATAGGCATTGCATGGAGCATATCTCTATGCCTTTCAATCTAAAAATAATATTAGCTTTTTCTGTGCACACAAACACAATTATTGTGAATACTATTCAATTCAAAATTTTGAAAATGCAGTTTTTCAATCCAATTGCATCCAATCGGATCTAATTGAATCTAATTGAATTCAATTAAATCCCCAAAAAAATATTC